TGTTTGTTTGGGTAGTATTTGGCCACAGGAATAAGATATCAAGCTGTACAGTTATTAGCATGGCTAATAACTGAGACCTAAAAAAAAAGGGGGGGGCTTCAACAAGTCAGGAGTGAATTATTCAATAATAATAATAACAGCAATAACGATAATAAGAGTAGTAGGCAATACTCACCCAGTGGTTACTTTGTGGCAAGTGCTGTTTAACTGTGCCATACAAAACAGCTCATTTAACCTTTGCAAGGACTCTATGAAGTAGGTGTTAGTATCCTCCCCATTTTACAGATAAGGGATCAGAGGCCCAGAGTGTGGCGTGGATCATGGACACGCGCCCGGAGGTAGGCAGACCAGAGCTGACCTGTCATCAACATCCCATGCTCCACATGTCTTTCTGCACCCTCGTCTTCACCATGTGGCTAAAGATCACTAACAGCTGCTGTGGGTCCGTCCTAACCGAGGCCAGGAGGAAGAAGGAAAGTCCTCTTACAGGGCTCCCAGCCAGCCCCTCCCACAGCACCCTCACTTCTCAAAGGGCACCCTGGTCTGGAAGGTTAGGGAAGGACTTGAGCCAGGGTGTTGCCATCTCCTCCCCCAGGTTCAGAGGCACCTTAGGAAGACTGGAGGCAAGACTGGGTGCTGTGGAGGCCTCACCGCATAGCCCACTCCTGTCTGACACGTCTCCAACTGACTTAGGCAAAAAACACAAGAATTGAGTTACGAGGATGGGGAGGAGGGGCTCGTAGGTGTGGTCAGACCTGAGGAAAGGGCTAGGACCTGAAAGTGGAAAACTGTCAGCCTCCCAGTGTCTGCTGTTCCCATCACTGTCGTCTTAGCGCTCTACTCATCGCTGAGACACATGGCAGGTGGCATGTGGCCACCCACTGGCCCATCATACATCATACAGACTGATTTGGCCTTGGGGTTGGGAGAATCATATCCCCAAATGGCCGTGAGGGAGCATCTGCTTGGTCTGTTTTGATCACGTAACTCTCCTTGGTGCAGGCAGCTGTGGTGGGGTGGGGAGAAGGGGCTGCCGGGCCGTCCTTTCACTGGGCAAGGAGGAGAGATCTTTTCCAACAATGTGGAATGCTTAGGAATTGGGAGGTCAACACTCCCCACCCACCTGGTGTTTAGGACTCTGCTCAAGAAGTCAGAGCCTGTGGGGATTGAATATCATTCTCCTTTGTTCCATATGGTACCTCTCGTTCAGCTGAAATTTGTTTTTTTAATTTTTTTTCAGCTGAAATTTGTAAAGTTGCAATGCCTTGCTCACCAGCACCCTGGCCATCAGCACCCCACACTCCAGCCCCATCCCTTGCAGCCCTGCTCCCTCTTAGAGCCGACTGGCTCCCTTGCCAAGAGCAAAGTAGGCCCGAGAAGTAGATGGCCCAATGGGCTGTGCAAGAGCACCTCTGGGATTCCTGGTCACCACCTTGGCCGCCCTCACTCCTGAGATTGCAACGATCTTCTGGAAAAAAAGAGTGTTTTCCTGTTTTTCCCTGACGAGTGCTCAGGCTCTACCTCTGGGTGATGTATGTGTGCTGTGCACACATCTTTCTGCCTACTGCCCTTGTTCTTTCTTCCTCTCCCTCACCGTCCTCACTTGACAGAAAGGTGGGCCCATCAGAGGAGATTGCAAGTCCAGATGGTACCTCAGCCCTTCCCGCCCCATTCCTCTCAAATAGCTAGCATGCTGTGCTGGGCGCAGCAGAACAAAGTGATGTTGATCTGCAATTTTTGATTCAGGAGGGACCTTGAGGACATATGTAGATAAAAATCATGACGGGAATAGAACTTCTGCTGAAGACTTAGGTACTTTACACCCTGGGCCTGGGAGGGGAAGGAACCCAGGCTATGTGCTCAATTCAGACCTTCAGAGCCCAGGAGCTGGCCACATGGAGGGTCAGACATGGGGTGGGAGGCCAGAGAAAAAGGCAGGAGGTCTTGAGGGGGTGCTAGAGGAAGAACCCCAGGTAGGGTCTAAAGAGATGATAATTGCATCAAATATAACCAAATAGATGTTATATCAGTCAGGGTTTCCCACATGGGGAAACAGACAAGACAGCACACTCAAACTGGGAACTGTGAGGGCAGTTTGAGAAAAGAGCTATTTAAAAAGGTGTGAAAAGAGATTGGGAACCATGTAACTCTCAGTCAGTGCAGAGGCCTGGGCTGGTAGTGTGTGTGTGTGTGTTGGGGGGAGGGGTTGTGTGGGGTGGTGGGCATACCACCCTAGGCCTGAAGAGAAGGAGGGCACACCCAGTCGCTGAAACCCAGAGCAGGGAAGGCCTCTGGCTGTGGACTCTGATGCCTCCTTCCTCTGCCTCCCATCTCCTGTGAGTGCCCCCCATTGGGCACATAAGGAAAGGAGACCCCCTTAAGCCCCTGCCAGGGCACAGAGCCAGGAAGGAGAGAAAGGGTCGGAAGGAGACAAATAGAAATCACAATGTGAAAAGGCAGAGGAAATTCCATTCTCCTCTGGCCCTCTCCCTCTAGGGCACAGAAGAACTCACACTGGGACTGCTGGCTGTGCCAGGCTCTGACCTCAGTCTTCAGAGATAATAACTGTTGTAATCCTTACATCTGCTGAGGAAGTTGACATTGTTATTCCACTTCCCTATTAGGAAATTAAGGCCAGGAGAGGTTAAGTATCTTTTCCAGAGTCACACAGGTGGCAAGGAGAAGAGCTAGGATTTGACCCCAGGGTGCCTGAACATCAGGGAAAGGGGTGACAGGCACCAGGGACAGGACAGTAGTGACAGGATCCAGGCAGCATGAAGGGCTGGGCTCTGTACTCGGGGAAAATCATGGGAGTGACACTGAAAAATTGCTCCATGATGTATTTATTTATGCATACAGAACTGGGGTACAGGCCAGAGGTGCAGGGGCAGTGAGTGGATTCACCAGAGACAGAGTAGGGAGCAGAAAGTGCACCGCTGAGGGGAGCAGCAGGGTGAGAAAGGAGAGGCCTGCCACGCCATGTGGGTCAGCTTCCTGGCCGGGGATGGTGCAGTGACTGTGGCCAGCTTCCCAGTGCTGCACTTCAACCTGATGCACCACCAGAGAGAGCCCCCCAAACTAGTTTTTAAACATTTTATTTAATAGGTAATATTAAATATTTTTAATATTCAAAAATGAAAATCATGTAAAAGGCATATATTGAGGAACCATGGTTACCATTTTGCTACTTATTGGTAACCTTCCTTTAAAAATTAGTTTTTGATTTACTTTTCCAGTGTATATTAATGCTAATACAAATATAAATATGCTTTCTTATTTCTACCCTCTTTTTTACACAAAAGGTAGCATGCTATTAAATTATTAAATTATTCTATACCTTATTCTATTCTATAGAATAGAATATATTCTATAGAATATATTCTATATTCTATTTTATAGAATATAGAATATATCCTATATTCTTTCTATTTTCTTACTTAATGTAACTAGAGATTTCTCCATGTCAAAATCTAGAGAAAACCTCCATTCTTTTCTAGAACTACGTAATATTCCATTACAAAGATATACCATAGTTGACTTAAGCAGTTGCTTGTGGCTAGACATTGGGTTACTTCTTATCTTCTGTTATTTAAAAAAAAAGTCACAATAATCTTGTGTGCAAATCACCGTGCACATTTGCTGGTGCTCTGAGGTCTATTTTTGCTTCTCTACTGTCTGTGATGAAGAAGCAGGTTTTATTTTTCAATTTGCAATCTGTTGCAGAGGGTACTTAAGTTAAATTCAATAAGAGCGAATTACTAGAGAAGCAAATTTCAAAAAAAAAAAATACAAAATACAAGTCCAAATATTTTGTTATTAGATTCGGTAGACATGAACATTACTGTCAAAATCACTCTAAAGACTTTTTTAAACTCTTGCTTTTAATTTTCTACATTTACTTTACCAAGGAATCTTCATACATCAGGGTTTGGCAACAGGCCACACTTTGAGTAACACTGATCTAGATTTCCCAAAATTAGGTCAAAGAGTAAATGCTTCTGTGGTTTTGCCAGGTGCTGCCAGACTCCTCTCCAGAGTTGTAGGGTTTTGCATCCCTACCAGCAATATATCACAGAGTCCTTTTCCAATTCTTACCAAGTGTGTGTCATCTAACTTGGATTTTGCTGAGCTGATAGATAAACAGTGCTATCTCAATTTAATTTTTCATTTCTGTTTCTCTTGTTAT